AGGCTTAGCAGCTGGGACAGCAGTGCCATGCTGCTGCAGGACACCTGCAGCCAGGGTGTCATGCAGAGGATACTTTCTGCCCAATTGTGCTGTAAACCTAACTTGGCTCTACAACATGTAATCTTTTAATTAAAACAAAAATGCAGGGGTATTTCATTTGTATTTTAATAAATATAGCTTGCCTGAAGTCAAAGAGCAAAAGAGCCCCACTGGTCAGCCTTCCAAACCAGGCAGTGGTGACACACACCTTTAATCCCAGTGGCCACACTAGTTTGCAAAGAAACCGGGCAGTAGTGGTGCACATCTTGAATCCCAGCCCTAGATAGGAATCTAAGATGGGAGGAGACAATTCTCACACACAGTCTTGTTCTGAGATTCCTAGAGGCAGGATCATCATTTCAGATTGAAGTAGAGGTAAGAGCCAGTGGCTGGATGTTTTGCTTTTCTGACCTTCAGGTTGAACCCCAAATTCTGTCTCTGGGTTTTTATTAATCATGCTACACAAAGACAAGGAAAAGTTAAAATGAGACATTCTAGTCTATTAGATAGGTGACAATAACTTTTCAGAGGCAGAAAAGAAAGTCTTTTTCTTTTCATTTATTTATTGCAGAGACTATAAAATGGTACCATCACTGTAGGAATTAGCACCACTGGATTGCCAGTTGATCAATTCTACTCTGAAAACCAGAAAACAGATTCTCATGTTCCTAGAAGTGTTTTTGCTGTAGTTTAAGTCCAGAAGCAATACAAGTGTGCACAGCAGACAATACCATGGGATACCTCTCTCCACCCCACACACATTAGCAACAATGGGATGCTGGTCACCCACAGACAGGAACAAATCACAACACATGATACAACACAGAATAAACTGGAGACAATGCTAAACTAAAGAAGCAGGCTAGGAAAACATATGCCGCACCATTTCACTTACATGACATATAAGACAGTCATTAGCAGAGCGAGAACACAGCGCTGGTTTCCATACTGTGATGGGAGGCTACGGAGCCATGTGAGGCAGATGCAGAGCTTCAGCTGTACACAATGGTGGCAGCCCCTGAACTGGACTGTGATGCTCGCAGCCAGTGTGAGCATCACTACTGTAACCCAGCTGCCCGCTTCCAGCTGTTCAGAGGACACATTCTGTTACATGACCTCTACCATGTAAGATGTAGGGAAAGTTCTTTGGGGAAATAATTCCATATATACTTTTCTTGATATAAATTTAAGAATCTAAAAATAGGTAAAGTGGTAACAGAGGAAGACAGGATAATTAGAAAAATACTGAAAGTATGTATCATACTTCCAAGAAAGAGAATAAACAAAATCTTGTCTTTTCAATATTTATTGACTTTCTTCAAAGTTCTCAGCCATAGTTGCCTGTGTAACTGGGTTACAGGCCAATGGGATGGAATGCTGGCCTTTATTCTGAATTGTACTTCAAAGTAAAAGATTTCAGTTTGAGAAGAAAAATAAGTATATTTAAGAAAAGAAAATTAAGTTAAACTTTAGAATTTATAGACAAGTAAAAATATAACAATAGTTAGAAATTATGCCTAGCATCCCCTCCCACCACTGCCAAATGAAAAGTGTTTGCTTGTTTTAATGTGACTTCACTGTAACATAGATTGAAGAGGGAATCACACAGGATCAACTGGCAGAGGAAGAAAAGCTTTTCACAAAACGTATTGTTATTCATTTCTTTTAAAAAGAAGTCAAAGCATGATGAAAGCATGCTAAAAAAGAATTCATAAAGAATAGTGGAATGAACCTAGAATAATTCACATAACAAACAGAATATAAACAATGGATTCTACCTATCAGAATCAAAGAGATCCTATCTAACACAAGAGAAAATCTGCAAAAAGATCTGAGCAGGAAAGGCTCAGAAATGAAAACAGAGGGTGATTAAACACATCAAAGATGTACAGATTCATGGGAAAAAAGAGAAAATGTAAACTATAACCGTATTACAATATTTTACATAAGCAGACATTATATGTAAATAAAATAAAATGGAGTGTCATGAGTGTCATTAAACATTGCTATTTTAAATACTCTCATCAAGTGAAAAATGATTTAGCAGTTACAAAGATGAATGGGTGCATAATTTAGCATGGGGCAAATACAGTACCAGGTAGACACCCAAGAAATGACATACACATGCTCGGGGAGACAGGAGTGAGGCTACACACCATTACTTCCTAATGGAAAGACAGTACTGGCAGCAAGAACTTCAATGTTTTTTAACAAGAAAAGACAGAAATAACCTGTTTTATTTATACAATGGAAAATACATAGTAGTAGACCTTTCTGAACTTGGTAACATGCAAATCCCTGAAACCTGAGAGAAAACTTCAGTCTCAGAAAAAATTCATTAAATCAGCCTGAAAACCTAGGTTCCTAGTTCATTGACTATCTTGAAATATCCACACAGCGAAACAGAAGGAAAGTCACTCAGTTATGGCTCAGAGAGGACAGTGGTCACCCCTTGAAGAGAACAGAATACTCTATCTTTGCTAGGATGGTTGTCTCATGCTCATTAACATTGTACCTTTATTCATAAGCTTCCTATAACCAAACATATCAACATCCCTAAGTGTCAACTATGAGAAAAGGAAAGGTAATGTCCTTTGATTATAGCTAGTATCCACTTATGAGTAAGTACATACCATATTCATCTTTTTGGATCTGGGTTACCTCACTCAGGATAGTGTTTTCTAATTCCATCCATTTGCATGCAAAATTCAAGATGTCACTTTTTTTTTTCTACTGAGTAGTACTCTAATGTTAAATGTGCCACATTTTCTTTATTCATTCTTCAGTTGAGGGGCATCTAGGTTGTTTCCAGGTTCTGGCTATTACAAATAATGCTGCTATAGACATAGTTGAACAAAGGCTTTTGCAGTATGATTGAGCATCTTTTGGGTATATGTCGAAGATTGGTATTGCTGAATCCTGAGGTAGCTTGATTCCCAATTTTCTAAGAAACTGCCATACTGATTTCCAAAGTGGTTGTACAAGTTTGCATTCCCACCAGCAATGGATGAGTGTTCCCCTTACTCTACATCCTCTCCAGCATAAGCTATCATTAGTGTTTTTGATCTTACAGGTGTAAGATGGTATCTCAGAGTTGTTTTGATTTGCATTTCCGTGATAGCTAAGGATGTTGAACATTCTTTAAGTATCTTTTGGCCATATGAGATTCTTAAGTTGAGAATTCTGTTTAGTTCAATACCCCATTTTTTTTTTTAACTGAGTGATTTAGAATTTTAATGTCTAATTTCTTGAGTTCTTTATATATTTTGGAGATCAGTCCTTTGTCTGATGTGGGGTTGGTGAAGATCTTTTCCCATTAGTAGGCTGCCTTTTTGTCTTATTGACTGTGTCCTTTGCTATAGTTCATGATTGTAAAGAAGCTAAGTAATAAGGTGAATCCAAAGAAAAACATATATAGACCCACTTGGGATTTGTAAACAGACAAGATTGCCTGACAAAATTGGGAGCATGGGGGTGAGGGGAGAAGGGAGGGAGAAGGGGAAGAGGAGGGGCGAAGGGGAGGGTTGAGGAGAACTTGAGAGAATGGGATAGCTGAGATGGAGGAAGGATAGAGATGAGAGCAAGGAAGGAGATATTTTGATTGAGGGAGCCATTATGGAACTAGCAAGAAACCTGGCACTAGAGAAATTACCAGGAATCCACAAGGATGACCTCAGCTAAGACCCTAAGCAATAGAGGAGAGGGTGCCTGATGTTGCCTTGCCCTGTAATCAGACTGATGATTATCTTAACTATCACCATAGAACCTTCATCCAGCAACTGATGGAAACAGAGGCCGAGACTCAACATCAGGGCACTGGATGGACTGAGCTCCCAAAGTTCAGTAGAAGAATGAGAATATGAGCACAGAGGTCAAGACCATGATGGGTTCACCCACTGAAACAGTTTACCTGAGCTAATAGGAGTTCACCAACTCCATCCAGACTGGGAAGGAACAAGTATAGGACCAAACTAGTCCCTCTGAATGTGTATAGCTGGGGCAGACTGTGGGCCCACTGGCAATGGCACCAGGAATTATCCCTACTGCATGTACTGGCTATTTGGGATCCTATTCTCTTTGGATGGATAGTTTGCTCAGCCTAGATACAGTAGGGAGGGCTTGGACCTTCCACAAAGCAATGTTCCTTACTCTCTCTGAGGATTGGATAGGAGTGGTATGGGAGGTTGTGTGGAGGGAATGAAAGAAGGGGAGAGAGTGGGAACTTGGATTGATATTTTTTTAAAAATCTAAAAAAAAAAAAAAAAAAAAAAAACAGGAAAGGAAAGGCAATTATGGTCCAGTGAAACGACATTAAGATCCCTGGAGGAAGAAAACAGTAACTTTAAGTGTAAAAGGAGTGGTCAAGAGAAGATAAATGCTTTCAAAGCACAACCAACATCAACCATCCTGTTTTGAGGCTTCCTCTAACTGTTTACAACCTAGATCACTGTTTGCTGTAAGGTCATTTGCCTGTCTGCCCTCCTCTCTTTGCCCTGTTCCTCCTTCACAGCTTTCCTTGCCTTCCCTCAGCTTTGTACTCCTGATATGCCCTACTTTCTTAGGTTTTTCATTCTTTAGTTTCTAATCGCTTTCTACGAAGCATCATATTTCCAATTGTCCCTCTTGCCTAGGTCAGCAGCACAAATGCTGAGAGCTCTGCGGTTCTGGACCTGCGCGTCTCACGTGCCCAGTGAGCAGATATTTCATTTCACTCTAAGAGGCGGCTCCACAGGCACACAGGGACGTAGGCTGGGCACAGGGTCACCAAGATAGTGAAAAAATTAAAACTTCCTTGGTAGTCTATTTAACAAGGTCAACTGTTATCAGTTTTTGGATGACACACTCATGAAAGAATCATGTTACAACCTCATGTTATAACCTGCTTCATAAATGAACAAATCAGGTATCAATCAGAAGTTTATTAAGGCCACACTAAGTAGAAAACAAACAAAAAGCATTACCATGTGTATATAAATGATCTTCCGTAATTTACTTATATCAATGTATCCCACAACATATACTGCAAATAATGATGAAATCTGAAATCAAAAGAAATTATGTTAAAAATAGAAATCATATATATATATATACATACATAAAACAAGTAGTAACAAGAATAAAGACAAGATTAATTTATTATTTCAAATTATCTTTATACAGAGTGTCTTAGTTTTCCTTCCAACTGCCAATTTATTATTGAATATGATTATTAATTGATCTTTCACTTATACTGCTCTCCTAATATGCAACTATGTGAAGTATCTACTCTGTGGAGAGTCCAAAACAACACTCATTTTAATATCAGGCTGGCTCTACTGTCAATACATATAATTAAAATGTCCTCTGGCCAATCAAACACTTGAAAATATAATTATAACATGATCACTAGGACAAAATTGCAGAAATCACAGTAAACTAAAAAGCAATTAGGTGATGTGTATTTATACAAAAACACATTAAGTCTTCCTGTTTGTCACCTCCATTAGCATTATGAATAATTCAAATAAATGGTCACAGGCTAGTTGCAATCAAATGTGTCAAGTTTCATATTTAAAAGAATAATACATATAACTTTCTTTTCCACCTGAAGAAAATCTTTTATGAAGAATTCTCAGATTTATCACAGATTCTAAAATTATTAGATTTAGATGGATTCACTGATTAAATGATACTCCAGCTCATGTAGGGAGATACCATGTCAGACAGTGTCTCTCTACCCCTTTCAAAGGGAAGTCATTCAAATTAAATTCTGCACCTCTTCACATACATATGGAAACACTGCCTAACAGGTAAATATCTGCATATAACCTATGTTCCAACTATTAAGCTTCTTTTGTTTGATCTTTTAATTTCCAAGCTCTTTTCAGCAAATGTTCCTACTGATAAGAAAACCAGGGTTTCTTTTCCCAGCTACCCACGTGGACTGCTCCAGGTGACTACCCTGTTAAGATGCCTGTGGGCAGGTGTGTGCTGTTCTGCATTAGCCCCATGAGAGGCAGGGCACACCTGTTCCTTTCCATGCCCCTCCACTCCCCACTTAGTGCAGGCTATCCCACTGCCTGGAAGCAACCGAAAGGCCTCTTCTCACCCCCTGGAGCCGAGCCACGCACTGATCACTACAGGGCACAATCTCAGATTCCAAAAATAACTTAGCTCATACAACGAATTTAAATAGAATCAAACCAAAGAAGAAAAACAAATCCCAAAGATCAGTTCAAAGAAGATGTATATAAACACAAATGACTTTTGTTTTTTAAATAATAAAAAGAGCAATTAGCAGGGCCCATGGAAGGAGCGGTTGTGAACCCAGCAACCAGGAGGCCACAGCTAGTGGACCATCATTTTGAGGCCACCAAGATTCTGCCTCAAAATGTAAAACAAATCAAAACAGTTGACCTCACTGACATCTGGCTGAGTATGTATACACACTAATAATATATGATGCTAAACCAACCTCAGAAAGTGAGGACTTTCATTCCTGTGTTTCAGAAATGATAAATTTGGAACAAAGAAAAGCTAAAATTTTTCTTTTCTTTTTCTTTCTTTCTTTCTTTCTTTCTTTCTTTCTTTCTTTCTTTCTTTCTTTCTTTTTTCTGGGGTATTTGTTAATTTCTTTTGTTTTGCCTAAGAAGGTAGTAAGTAGTTAAAACTCAAATCCAGATATGCCTTTATTTCTGAAGCAAGGCATCTGAGTATTTAAAGCATCTCTCCAATAGTGTTATATAAGTATGGCAAGCATATTTTCATAAACAGCAAGTATAAAAAAACCTGAGCCTACAAAACCCTCCTCTCTCAGAGGGCTCCTTGCTTTATAAACCCAGAAGAGAGACACGGGAATACATGGAAAGATGACATATTGCAGACTGTTAGGGGAGCCACATAAAACATGAACTTATTGCCTGCTCTTTCTCTTAGCATGCTGTGGGATAACCCCTGTATATGCTGTATGTTTTATTATCATTGGTTAATAAAAAAGCTAATTTGGCTAGTAGCCAGAGAGAATAGATCCAGGTAGGAAATCCAAGTAGAGATACAGGGAGGAAAAGGGCAGAGTCAGGGAGACGCCAGCAACTACATGGGATGCAAAATGTGAGTTAACAAGCTATAAGCCTCATGGTAAATGCAGACTAATAGAAATAGGTTAATTTAAGTTGTAAGCGCTAGTTAGTAAAAAGCCTGAGCTAATAGGCCAAGACGTTTGTAATTATTAAGCCTCTGAGTGGTTGCTTGAAAGGCAGCTGAGGGATCAGGTGGGAAAAGCCTCCACTTACATTATCCCACACATACTGATTCTTCATGTAATGATTTAAAGCACCCCCAGCAAAAATCCCTCAATGGACTAGGAAGGAGTTCTTGAAATCTCACCCTTATTGGAAGATCTATTGGCAATTGATGACTAGAGGCAGTCAGTTTCCTTCAGAGATTCAGGGCCCTGAGATGCTTTTGTTGGGTTGATGATCGCACACTCATGCACATACAGACAAAACTAAAGGCATTCAGCTGGCGTGGGGGCGGGGCTGAGCACATGAAGTGGGGCATGTGAGTATACAAGCACACAAACTGGGAGAGAAAAGTGGTAGGAGGGAGACAATGAGAGGGATTCAAGGGAAGAGAATGGATTTGATCCAAAAAATAATACGTATGCTTGAATGTCAGTAAAATATTTAAGGAACTATTCATAGAAGAAACATATTTTCCTCAAGGGAAGTACTTTAGACTGTCCACTAGTTTTCTTTTTAGCCCTCTAATAATTATGGAATAACAAAGATAAGCATTCTTATAAACTTGGTTTTACTAGTAATAATATTCATCAATAAATTAATCTCACAAAGATTCATACTCTGAATTTTCTTTAAAATAATGAACAAGAAATATCTTCAGACTCACGAAACAGGAAGAATTGGTCTGCTCCAGGAATGAAGACAGATGGGCAGTCAGCCCAAGTACATATATACATGTGGTGTTCCTGATAAACACCGCAGAGTGTATTTCTAAGTGTGTGAGTGAGAGTGTGTGTGAGCATGTGTGCGTAACATCAATACAAAAGTAATAAAAGAGCATGAATCTGAAAGTGGACATGGAGGACTGGGCAGAGAGTAGAAGAATGGTGATAATGCAGTACTCACATATGAAATTCTCAAAAAAACAACAAGGAAATCTTGGTTACAATTTTATACAGATGAGCTTACATAAACAGAAGCACCAAGTCCAAATATGCCAGTTTTAGAATGTGCCCACCTTACCTGAGTAAGAAGCACGAACTGGGCAAACTGCCAAGGAAGCATGAAGAACACATTGGAAATGCAGAGTGCAATCAAGCTCCCTCTGTAAAGTTTTGTAGCCCTTGAAAAGATAAATATCAGGAGGTTTAACTACAAAACAGTCCAGCATAGCTCCAAACTGCTGCCAATCAGAATCACAAACAGGACCTGGGGTTCACATAAACTGCATGCAAGATGAACCAATGGGTTAGAAATTATACCTTCTGATTTTCGATTATAATAATTTTCTGTAAAATGTAAATACCTATTATTACTGCAAAACCACAAGCCCTGCCAAAAAAAGGGAGGCAGGCCAGGTGAATACAGTCATTACTTTTCTTCACATTATATTTTAGTGAATTTATATTAAGACTTCTTTAAAGTTAAGTCAATAGATTCATTAGTTGGAAAAGTAAGGGAGTGTCTAGGAGAAATGACAAAGTGGCATATTCTATAAGCTAAGCAGTGTGAAGTCAAACATGGCAGGGATGGGAGGCTGGGTAAGAGAGAGTGAGGTAAAGTAGCATAAAAGCCAGTTTTCTGGAGATGCACCTTGGGAAAGAGAAGGAGAGGCAAAGGAAGGGGCTGTGCTGGAACCACCGTTAGGGGTGTCATGTTAGGGCCAGTGAGTACTTTAGGAGACTTTCAGGAACAGCCTTTACTCCCACATATGAGCTGATGCCAAGCCCTAAGTCTACTATCTTCTTCACAGAAAGAGAGTGTGCAGACTAGCATACTGAGGGGAGAAGTGGGCAATACAGGGACACCACCACTGATGCCTTCCTCGGCTACTTTCCTGAGGAACTAACCCAAGTATTCTTAAACTCCAGACAACCTTACAGAATCAAGTAACTAGAGGAAAGTCAGTACTTCTGATGAAGCAGAAGAGACAGAACATGCTGGCTGCACCGTAGAACAGGGCTCCAGTCTGTGATGCTTCAGTTTCAGCCGAGTGCTTCCCATCACAGAAATGGGCTGGACTACAGAGAACACTTACTTCGAATATGATAGACCACACTGTGAAATAAAGCAGTTTTCTATTGCTTTTGAATATGAGGCTTGACTTTCATTTTATAGGTAACAAGGGAAACTATGGATTTAGGGATAGAATGGAACACTAACCTGGCAGCTGGGTACAGAATACACTCAAGAGAAGAACCAAAAGAAACCAAAGAAATTCCAGCTGGTAGTGATCAATACACCACTAACTTTGGACAGGAGAAATGAAAACAAAACATTACTAAGAACAATCGAGGAAAAAATAGATGCTATGGCGCTTGGGGAGGGGGGGTATCTGTAAATCTGGATTTCAAAAACACAATTCTAGACCGCAAATCAATTTGATGAACTAAAACCTCTTGGTAACCTCATTTCTAAGGTATTCCTGCCCTCAAAGAGGTGGTGGGGAGCACATGCCACAGAAGAACCCTGATGAAAACCCCAGAAAAAGCAGGCCACAGCAACAGGAGCAGCTCTGGGCAGAATGTGCCTGAATCCTTGAGCCCTTGAGGACAACACAGGACATGGCATAGGGGAAGAGGGCATGCAGGCGGAGTTAGGATTTCTAGTCACCTAGCCCAAGGATAGGAAGAGGATGCTGGTTATTCTGCTGGGCCTAGGGCAATTACAAGGTTCTTGGAAGTAGAAGGAAGCAGAGGAGGGCAGAGTAAATGTGGGGAAGGAAGGGGCCAGTTCTCCATTGCTGGCTTTCATGATTTAAAAGGAGCCAATATACAAAGAAGAGCTGCAGAATCAGGGAAACTGATTCTGAAAGGCCCTAGGAAGAATATAGCTCTGCCAGAGCCTGCAGGTTAGGTCCCCTGCCCAGACAGATACAAGGTTGTAAGTACAATCTACACCATTTCAGCCTCTCAGTTACCACCCACCCACAGCTCATGAGAGAGAGGGAGGTGGGTAGTGAGGGAGGGAGAGAGGAAGGGAGAACAAAGAATGAGAGGCTCATTCATCCTTATCGGACTCAACAGAAGCAGAAAGAGAAGTGACTAGACACTACTGAACAGTCTAGTGCCTGTACATGTGGGGGAAAGGCAAGAATGGCCTTATGGGTGTGGAAATGGCTCCTGCGGGTGAGCTGAGGCGGGCTTGCAGTGCAGCACTCCCTGCAAAGTGCACAGAAGTCCTGTCTCTCAGTGCCAGAAGCAAGCAGGCAGGGCTGGACCTCATCTGGAGATGCAAAGAAATGCCCAAACCTATATAGTCAAGGACTTAAGGGTGTAACACAAATTCTAATTGGTCTTAATAATAAAACCCAGACTCAGATATTAGGGGGTGAAAGTTGAAGGATTAGAGAATCAGGGAGGCCAGCGATAGAAAGACCTTTAACTCTACTGATGCTCAGACCAGAGGCGATCCTGTCCTCAGACTGCTTCCTCTGACTGACTCCTTCAGAGTGAACCTCAGACTGCATTTTCAGACTACATCTCCAGCCTACACTGAGCTCCTGTCTCCTCTGGCCTTATATTCCTCTCCCTGCCCAGCCATATCCCTTCCTGTCTCCACCTACCTAGTGCTGGGATAAAGGCACGAGACTCCCAAGTACTAGGATTAAAGGTGTAAGCCACCACCACCTGGCCTCTAGTGACTTAGCTCTGTACTCTGATATTCAGAGAAGCTTTATTTGTTAAAACACAAACAAACAAATTTTCACTACACTTTCCTTTTTTTTGTCTAAAATCAAAAGATGTTATAACTAACATAAGAAAACTATATACAATAAGTACAATGACTATATACAATAAGTACATCAATGATGCCTAGTCCATTTACATTTGACAAATCCTGAGAAAATACTCCATTATCTATCCTTCCTTGGTGGGTCCAAAGTTGTGTACCTAATTTATTTTCTATCATAACTAGCATTATCATCCATAACTATCTTTTGATGTCTCTCAACCTTATATACTTTACACCCCGTTAGTGAGTTTCTTTTCTGAGTCTGGTAACAAGGAAAACTACAGCTATCTAGTCCTCAACTCCCTCAGCGACCCAAGCAGGAAATAATATTAACTGAATAAGCAGGAAATGCAAACAAGAGATTTCAAAAAAAATGTGAGAAATGACAAAACAGACAGCTGCCTGGACAGTCAATCAAATTTCCTCTGCAACCTTTGGGGCATCTGTCTTCAGCCTACAGGCCTAGAATATCTGACAGACTTTTCTATGAAACAGGGTTTTTGAACGACTATCTCTCCTTTTCTGGGCAAGGTTTGGCAGCCACTCTCTTTTGTGTCCTCTTTGTCCAATTAGGACAGCACACTGCAGCAGCTGACACAAGGGCATTCTCTTGCCCAGTGGATTATTTTGCTGGCGATATGTGGACTTTTAAAAGCTCACAACATAAAGGCCATCACTCATTTGACCTGTGAAAGGTCTATCTGATGAGACTACAAGAGACACAGGAAGCTGTGCACAGGCCCTGACTTCTAAGTACATTACAGAAGCAAATGCCCCAAGGGTTTGGCAGAGCAACTTTCATTGTCAGTCTTCCAAATTCAGAAGACCACTGAGTGGAGTTCTCAGACTAAGACAGCTTCACATTTGTACAAGCTTTGACCTGTTTTTCACAGACTCTATTCTATGTTTGTGATGCAGGTCTAAATCCAGCATGTATCCACTCAAAGAAAAGCTGCTCTTACTCGTTTTCAGCGGAACTTAAACCTGCCTGGGCTCCTAACTAGTCTAATTCAATTCTGGATTTCTAGTGGGAATTCACCTAGCATACCTTTAGTGTATGTAGGCTGTTTCTTTCTACCACTACTGTCTGATACCCAAACTCTCAAGACGAACTCCATGTGTTAGTATTCCCAATGATGAGTCTATGAATTCTTCTTGTTCCAAAAGACTGAGTCCTAAAGGATGAGGCTCAGCATGGTCAGCCTCTTCCTTCTCCTTGCAACTGGCATGGTACAAGAGAAAGACTAGGGAATATGGAGCGGTATAAGTGAAAGTGGGTTTACTCATCTAAGCAGTTTCCATGAACCCCAAAGAAAAAGAGAACCAGAGGGCTCTTTGAAATGTAGTTATCAAAGTTACATTTTTTTTACAAAATACTTTAAAAATCTTTATTCATTCAATAACAAGATCACAATCTTACTAAGGAAACTTAAGGTATTCTTTTTTTTTTTAATTTTTTTCTTTTATTTTATTGAGAATAAGGTATTCTTTTAAAATAAAACTTGTAGCTTCTAGTTTAAGTTGGGGGAAAATAAAGCTCCAACAGCAGAGTCAATGAAAGTTACCTCAGGATGTGAGTCACAAGCAACATCTGAAGTACAAGGAATGGATATGAGAAGCTTTCCCGGAGAGGAGGTGTCCACATCACTCGGGTACACTGAAAAACAAAGAGGCCAGAGAATGTACCCACTCCAGGTACAAGATGCAAGGTGCAATCAACAAACACAAATTATTCCCATGTGAACCTTAAATGGTACACTGCAAACATGCTGTTGCATTTTCTCTACACAGAAACACTGCAAAGAGAGAGGAATTGCTGGGAAAAGACGCATGAGACTCAAGACGCATAAGGAGCATATGGACATCATACTGTCCTCACTCCTTTGTCCATCGGTAACAACTGTTGCTGATTCTATCTTGGGCACTGTGACTAATGCTGTGGTAAACACAGGAGTGTGGGTAACCTTTGATAAAAGTTTTATTTCCTTTGGAGATACACCTGAGGATAAAATGGCTACAAGTTAGTTAGTATTGGTTAAAACAAGTTGTATTTCCAAACAGCTAGAGGTAAGACTGTTCTTAGCAGAGAGACGCTTGGTGCTGGGGGAGATGCAAGTGCTTACAGTTCAAACCATGATCTCTAAATACCATTTTCCCCAATAGGATCAAGACTCTGCGGAAAAGGTTGGTCTTGTATCTTGAGACAAGGTTATCATGAGACATCCTTTAAACCACAAAGTGTTCAAAGACTGAAAGAATGTATTAAAAGAAGTGAAATGCCCCAGCCTTTCCAAGAGAAGCTCTTGATGCCATTACCAGCAGTAAATGTAGACACAGGGCTACCATAAAGTAAAAACTGACTGCTCTGCCCTAAAAGGGACATTTATCACCTCTGTTGGGGCTCAGAGAACATCCTGGAAGACAGTATGGAAAGAACTTAATAGTCACAAGACAGGGAGAAAGGCTATGAAAAGTTGTCCTGTGCATGAACAGCCACTGCAACTACGGCTGCCTGCCCCGCCTAAACAAAGCTGGGCCACTCAGCAGCCGATCACAAATCTTGGAGGGGCTCATGGGGCCCTTCTCTCTGCTGCACTAGTGGCTACTAAAAGTCCTGGGGAAAGGCAAGTCAATGTCTTCAGTTGTGTACCCCTGATGAAGCCACCAGGTTCAAATGGAAAGTCTCAGATACACAGTGACACTGAAGTTCCTGGCTAAATTCATGGAGGGGCTCACAGAACCAAACACGCAGACACTGGATGAAGAAAGCAAAATGCTGTAGCTATGATATGGTCCTGTGGAACATGCTCACAAGAACTGCAACATTCTTGCAGCTTCCACATAGCAAAAGAAAGAACTCAGACCTGTATGGACAACAACTTAATAGACACTTCAGGAAAGAGAAACACGACATGGATGTACTCTCTATCAGAACCAACTGGGAAAATGCACAAGCTATTCCTGCACTCACTCAGAAGGAATGAAATTAGGAGACTAAACCCTAAACACTGACGGGGATGGAAAGGAAACTGGATTCCTGTACAATGATGACAGTGAGAGTTGGTACTTTCACAGACAATATGGGTAAATATCATAGACACAAGTTGAGAGGAAGGAGTCAGGCACAGGTAAGTATGACTCTAGCAGTAGGATGTCACCATCTAGCTGGCAAGTGAGCAAGAGCAATGGCAAAAGTCTAGATCATTTTGGGTGTCTGTGGGGCCTCCCTGGTCACACTAGTGGGAAGGTGGCCTGAGACGAACTCTGAGATTTGCATCTATGAGTACACATCTGTCTTCTGGGAGCAGCACTGTTTATACATGGGGGCACCTCTACTCAAGCGCCTTTAAAAGCAGTAACTATAATGTTAATAGCTTACAGAGTACTGGGTTTTCTTCATACAGCCTTAGTTTCAGATAGCCCATCCCATAACCCTCCTTTCCCTTGTCCCCTGTCCCAAATATCCTCCCATTCCTTGATGTTACATGTGTTCTACCGTCTTATCCTTTTTACTTGAGATACACGAAGATAGATTTCCATACAGCTTTTTCATACACACTGCATGTTGGCTGACCTTTCTCTTCCGTCTCAATTCCTCATTCCCATCACTCTAGACCTGCATCAACTCTTCTGCCTCTAGTATTTCCCTTCCTACTTAAAGAACAGAAAAAAAGAAATCAAGTTTGAACTGACCATGAAACTCCCTTCTGGATGGCTAGCCATTCAGGTAGTGCTCAAAGGCACTATACAGGGTACTGGGGAAGAAAATGCACCAACAGCTTTATCCAGTGCTAAATCCTGTATGCTACAATACCAATACCAACCTGACAGGCCAGTGTGTTCACTGTTGCTATAGTGGCATGATTGTCATAGGATTAACAATTAGGTTCTGTAAACCAAACCAAATCTGAAGACTATAGAAGTCACAGGTCTACAATAGAAACCAGTGATGTTGTTATGCTAAATGTTCATACTAACAAACTGTCTTATAAATATTTATGCTCACACCCACAGATTTGTGCTAGTCTCAAGTATGGCAGAAGATGATTCTTATTGTGTGTGGGTAATGGTTAGGTCAGACCCATAATTGTTCAAAGTGCTACGAGTAAGAGACTATAAGTACCAAGTTGTTTTATGGAATGTCTAAATCAACTTGTCCCTACCCCCAAGGCCCAGGGGTCACCATGGAAGAGGATGTGAGCTGGAGGATGGGGAGAAATGCTAGTAAGCAGTCGTCTAGACATGACTTGGCTACTACACACACAAAGTCATAGCAGCTAAGGCTACCTGCACAATCCAGTTAAAGATTCCAGCATGAATGTGGGAGGGGCTCCCAAGGCCCCATACCTAGCTGAGGAGCTACTGCTGGGTGACGGTTGCTGGGTTCTAGAGGGTGCTAAGATGCTAAGTTGCCAATGCCTCAGACACATGCACTTGTGGGCATCTCTGATTAGACTCAATGGACTAAATTAATAACAATAACAATAGTAATAGTAATAATTATAATTAAAAAGAGCAATGAAGTGGGAAGGGAGATATGCTGGAAGTTTCTAGGGGGAGCTGGAGGTCAGGTAGACATGACTAAGATATACCATATACATGTAAGAAATTTTCAAAAAAAATACTATTTCAAAAAAGAAAGTAGGAATCCATTTCTGTAAAGTTTCAAAAGTACCACAGCCATCAATAATGACGGAGACTAGAGTTATTTCCCTTGAAGGAAGCTAAAAGTGTAGATTGAAAAAGGTCATAGAAATGCCTGCTGAGGGCTAAAGTCATCTGTATCTTACTAGTGATTCTCAACCTGTGTGTTGCAACCCCTTGGGATCACATATCAGATATCTCCATTATGATGAAGTAACAACAAAATAATTTTATGACTGAGGGTCACCACAGCATGAGTGTCACAGCGTTAAGAAGGTTGAGTGGCTACATAATTGGGTACATATGTAAAATCTGTTCGGCTTGACAGTTACCACATGGGATATTAATATATGTAAATTATTTAACATTTAAAGTCAAGGTTACTACTGAATCTGTAATGATCTGAATATCAAGAATTATGATGACAGGTTATAGAACACTATATATAAAAAGAATCCAAATATACAGTAATGATTAAAAAAAGTTCTTTATAGAACATCAATTATTAATCACAGATGAAATAAGAGAATTAGAAAACTGCCATTTTCAATTGCCAACAGAGTAAATGACTCAGGCAGTGACCATCAATGATGTGGGTATTTGGTCAGACACTTTAAGGAAACGAGACATTCTATATCTCAAAGCATCAAGACATACAGTTCTTACTGTTGTAAAAAAGAAAGGAGCATCTTCCCAACAGATAAACTGACTTCTACCACCTGAACCATAGGAGGACTGCTTGAAGAAATCCAATTATGTGGCCAACTGGTCTCATAAGACTCAGTGTATTGCAATAAAAATAATATATCTGCTACAGTCTTCAAAAACTGTCTAATTGGGACCTGCTGATGAGGAAACCCACAAGTCGGAATCGTGGAGCCTTTACAAAGCAGTAGGCGTGCGTTCTTAAAAGAGTGCCCACTTGGCTGGACAGAAGAAGAACTGTACTAGAAGCATTCGAGATAAAATGGCAACTAGGAGCCATGTGTGGTCTTAAACCCTGCATCCAAACCAAAAGCATAAAGGAACTGACTGGGATACTGCTGAAAGTTGACTGTGGATTATAATATATGATCACCGAGTCTCAAGCATGAGTCATGAGAGTGGAGGAGCTTTCAGGCAGCATATTCCAAGGTGTAAGGGAAGATGCCATCAGGCCTGCACCTCACATCCAAAGGGAGCAGGGAACTGCTGGTCTGGGTAAGGTGCAAGGTACAGAACAGGAAGAGAAAGCAAGAGAGAAAACTGGTAACTGAAGAGCTAGCAAGATGGCTCATCAGGTAAATGCACTTGCCCCAGTCCTGAGTTCATGACCTGAGTTCAATGCCCAGGACCCATGTGAAGAAGGAGAAGGCCAACTTCTGCAACTTGTTCAGATTTTCATACATGGTATATGCTGTATGAACATGAACACACACACACAAACACACACAGACACAGACACACAAAGGAAAACTTTAAATTTTTAAAAAACTGGTAAATGAAAGTGAAGGTGAACATGTTCTTACTCAAGCAATATCCCCTGCCCTATACAGTTATTTGTACAGTTATTCTGTTAAGGCAAAAATTTCTTTGTAATATCATCCGTGGGAAAACATTTACAATATGCCAAATACGATCTACCACTGAGAGAACTAATTAATGAAAACAGAATCTAAAAGTAACTAACAAGCCACAACTATGCTCTGATATATGAGTAATTCCCTCCTGTGACTAAGGATCTCTTCTAAGACAGTGAAGTGTCAGGGCAACAGGATGGCTCAGAAGGCAGCAGCTCCTGCTGCCAACCTGCCAACCTACATTTGATCCCCAGAGTACACAGGCTAAGAGGGAATGGGACGCCAGAAAGCTGCCCGATGACCTTCATGAATGCCATGCAAGATGCACCACCAACACACTCACTGAATAAGCAAATACAATTCTAAAAAGAAAGGTACTGATTAATAACCAATAGCAATTTCATTGAGCAAGATTCTTCTACAAAAGTGGCTAGATGCGTTAACAAGTATGAGCAGAGTAGATGATTTCTGTAATACAAAACTTAGATACTTTAGAAGCATACATTCACTCATCATTCTTTTATTTGACAAGATCTCACTGTGTAGCCCTGACTAGCCTAAAATTCTCTATGGAGACCAGGCCGACCTCAAGCTCCAGAGATCCAATTTCTTGCCTCTTGAGTGCTGAGATGAAAGGTATGCACCCAGCTAGAGACAGTTTTAAAAGATTAGAAGAAAGCAGGGACTACACCTGTCATAATCTGAAAGCCAAATGGTAAATTTATAGTACGTTTTTAAATTACTTGAATTCTGACCAATACTTTAACAAAACTATTATGTATGGTCTAAATTTTAATGTCATATAAAAATGTTGCTTTTCTGCCCTATACTAGCTAAATAGAACACAACAATTAATTGGTCATTTCCATAAAGCTAAAATTCTAATATTCTAATTTTATTATTTCATGTACCTCTTCCTAAGATGAACATGTTTTAAATAAACTAAACAGCTGGAAAATGTCAAGAAGAAAAATCCATCAACCTAAAAAAAAATCGACTAATCTGAATTCTGCTTTTAAAATTGAAATTCTAAGAAATAATGCTCTTGCTACTTGAGCATCAAGATTGTGAGAAAAACATACAGAGGGGAACCAATAGCCCAGGGTCCGTGAGGGGCACACGGTCCTCTGTGCTCAACAACAGTGCCTTTCTTGCTGCATCTGGGTCTACATATTCAATATCTCCGTGCCCCAGCATCCTACTCTTAACATACAACGTTCTTTTCTTGCATTTTTAAGCAGTTACTTCCCATTTCAGACACCATTCTCATTGAATCCGCCCACAATCCAGCCTTTACAATGCGCAGTGTCCACAGCCAGGAAAGAGCCAAATCCTCCTCTTGGCTCGGTCTCACATTACTGCAAATGCACTGTTGCTGCTGCAGGGCACCCACAGGTCAAATGCTCCACCCAAAGGCTGCTCTACTCCACATTTCTGTGATTCTAAACAGTGAGTACCCATCAGTGAGAATCCGTGAGCAACTGCCTAGCGGTTCACATTGATGGCAGTTTGTGTAGCCTTGCTCTTTAAACCAGTAGATGTCCAAAGACTGCAGACACTTGCGGCATAAAGACAAAAGATGCAGCATCTCACACACCTTTTTCCTCCCACTTATAATAATCTCCATGAGAGGCCTGAATAGACATATTACTAGATAATTCATCTACAGGTATGGTTAACTCAGAGGAAAAAGTTCATTAAAAATTTGAATTTATTAAAATTTTACCTGAAAACTATAGTAATAAATAAGACTACTAATCTGGGCTAAAAAGCATATGGCACTTTAGTTTTTAAACCCCTGTACTAGGCACTTTACATATATGAGTTCATCTGATCTATGGAATAACTATGAGGTCATGATCCCATTTACAAAGCAAAGAAATGCACAGACAGATTAACTGACTTGTTCAGGTGGGACAGATGCTAAATGGAAGAGCCAGGATTTAAACCCAGGCAGTGTGGATCTATAACTATGTCCTTTATCTTGTGACCTTTGGCTGCCTTGAAGACTTACAAACGTGCAGGCTTTGCAAAGAGTCTGAACAGGATACTTAAAAGTGAATTACTTTTGGAACATAGGAGCCACCATAAGAGCCACCAGCTTTAAAACCAGACTCACTATTTTCTCAAATTAGTGAGAGTCCTGTCACTTAAGAGAACACCAGCATTTAAATTTTGGGTCAAAATAACAGGATCAAGTTCTTAAGAAACACTACTACAGATTAAACATGAGGACATTAGTTTGAAGAAGCTGCATTTCAGTCGTGATTCTGAAAGTACCTTCTGACGACCTACCTCTCCATGATTGAAGAAGAAGCATAGCACTGTGACCAGGCCTCCCAATCGGCTGCCACTGCAAAAGAGGATAAGAAAATGGAACTCCATGCCAGAAATGTAGGTCAATCCTGAAATAAAACCTCACAATACAGTACCACGATGACCTTCCGCCGCCAGACGGCTTTGGCCACAAAAGCCCTTTCCTGTGCTGATTCATAAAACAGCTCATTTCTTCCAAACTATCACTAGCTCAAAGTAGAGAATACATTTTTTAAAACAACTTGTCAGTTGAGTGAAGAGATGCACATCTGTGATTCCAACACTTAATACAGGCAGAAGGATCAGGAGCTCAAGGCCAGACTTAGTTACTTAGTTTAAGGCCAGAGTATGAGATCCTGGCTCAGGAAAACAAAAACAACAACTCAATTGTCACCTACGAAATGTGCACCCTCGGGGACGGGAGGGGGAAGAAAGAAAGAAAACACTGGAGGAAATCATTTAAGAAAGTTAAAGAACAGCTTTGCACGCATCTCTCCTCCAAACCCACCATTCTCTATAAGCAAACAATCCTGGTGTGAGCCTATCGTTCACATCTGACATTTGTTCTTTTTCTACCTTACCATGGAGATTATTCATAATCAGTACTAGTTACCAAAGGCACCTTCTACACCAACGTGAGATACCGCATAGTCCCAGAGTACTGCAATTTCTTCATCTATTCTTTAATGGAGTGCAGGGTCTTTTCAGTCCCTTGTTAGGCACCATGTTCATAATCTGGGAATGCACATACTGGCACTTCTCTTATGCTGGGACAGACTGAGGTGTGAACCACGCTGGTGAGCACTGCTCCACTTCTCCCCAGTCAGCGCTCAGACTCTTCTCAAAGCCCACCCTTCAGACAGGTGAAACTCTCACAAGCTCTAACTTTGATTGTTACTGCCCCCATTTGTACGGAAGACCACTGTCCTGCTTCAGTGTGATTTTCACAGTTCCCTTCTGGAACTGCCTGTAAATGCCCTGTGTGTTCATCTATGACTATGACTGCAGGCCTCTCCACTTAGAGACTGTGGTGACCAAGTATTTGGTTGTCATATGTCACAAATTAATTTGATAATTTACAGGGTATTCAGCTAGAACTTTAAAAATACCATGTATTTAAAAAATCCTATTTCTTCTCTATTGCATGCCTAGTCTGGGAAGGTTTTTCCAATTTCAAAATTTCATAGATAGCCACCTAAAATTTCTTCTAGTACCATGCACTTCCATTTAGATCTTTCATCCGGAGAGCTCTAATCTCTCCTCTTTAAAATCACCACTCATGCTAAAACACCAAGCAAGTAAAACTCCCTGTCTCAGAGAAATGCAACCCAGCCTTTCTCATACAGTAATTTCATACAATGCTTGAATCTTTTCCAGTCTAGTTAACTGATTTAATTCTGCAGTCCTTTTCTATCACATGGCACCATTTCCATCCTGTAAAATTCTGGTTATTTTAATACATCTTAGGAAAGTTCCCAGCTACAGCCACACAGAGACTGATTTAGGTGATTCTCTGTACATAAAACAATCTAACAGGCCCCTTTTCAAAGAAATGTTGTTTGTCATCAAAATGGCACTGAATTTACTTACAACTTGTGATATATATACACACATACACACATATAAAGCAGTCCATAGTATATACACATATACATATATACATTTATTATAAAACAGTCCATAACAAGTTATACACAAATTGAGTGCCAGTAATTCAGTAAATTCGGCATCATCACAATTCAGTATGTAAATTCAGTAAGCCAAGTGCATATAAATACACATGCATATGTAAATACACATGTATATATACATATATGTTATATATATGTATGTATATGTGTGAATGTATGTGTATGTGTGTGCAGTACTTATTCTGCCTGATCCATCAGTGAATATGTCACTCCCCATTTATTCAATTCTAATTATATTACTTCAAAGAAAATTTTATAAGCCAACAATATAATAGTCAGGTACTAATGTTAATCCTCCTATAAATACAGAGAATGTGTGGAAATCAAGCCATGGTGGTTGTTTTCACACTTTCAGAATTGTGACAGGTCACATAAGCCAAGGAACACATGCCAGAGATTTGAAGTAGATAGTCAAAATGCTCAATTTTATAAAAATATACAGCATTCTGACTAAACAAAGAATGTGTTATTTCTTACGTCCCTAGAGCAATGAGCCTAGAGACAACTCATTCTCTGATTATAGTCAAAAACATAAGACAAAAAAAAATTAAGACCTTAATATAAAATTCCTTTTTTTAAGACTTCCCTTGAGCAAAATAGAACCCAAACTAAACTTTTCTGACTTTAGTTTTCCTTAAAGAAGAGTAGAGGTCGCTGGAAAGCTGGAAGAGCACAAGGAAGGAGTGCAAAGCTGAGCGAATCCCGGGCTGGAGCGGCCTTAGCTGCCCTGCTCACTCAGCCACCACCGGCCTGTGAGGCTCCGTGACTAGACAGTCTCCAAAGGACACGAACGGCACAGGGTCCAGTCTGGCACCACCTGTCTCTGTGTCTAGCTACCCAGGGAGACAGGCGTTCTGATCCACTTTGTAACTTCCAACGCTCGGAGGCAGAGTACAGCTAGCTTGTCTATAAGTGATAGTCTGAGTCGAAAACATGGTTTAATGATGTGACTTGCAGAAACTCAAAATTGTGTCCCTAACACTAAGCTACCATTCTGATCCTAGAGACTGCCACGAAAAGTTTATTTTGATAAATAGAAATGGCATTACAATCAGAATATTTAAAGCTGTTTAAATTACTCTTCATTATAGTTGATATTTCAGTTTTCATTAGTAATATAAAAACTCTTCAGTATAATATCACCAACTGTTAGGAAGCAGGAAAGCCACTACTGTGTGAATTTATAAACCATGCTAAGCTCCTGAACATTTGCCACAGGCACTCACAGACTTCATTCGTCTTGTTATGAATGGGGTCTATGCATATGCATATGCCTATATAGACTTACAGTGTGTGTCCTCATGTGTACAAATGCATATGGCTGTCAGCGGTCAACAGTGGGTATTTTCTTCTGACTCTCAGTGACCCTGGAGCATCCTCTACCTGCCTCCCCAGCACTGGGGATCACACGGGTGCCTCTGCACTACCTGATTGCTTGGCCTTTACATGGCCACCAGCGATCTGAATCAGGTCAGCATTCCAGGTAAGCTGGCATCTTACCAACTGACATCTACCTAGTCTCTTTATTTACCCTTTGAGCCTTGATGATCTTAGAAAATTAAGGAGGGGCATTAACGCTTAAAATTTAAAAATTCTTCCTAGCTCTGAAATTTAGCAATTGTATAATAGTTCTTACTCTTTAATTGTAACAATTGGAATCAATTATCAGAATTTAATGGGTTTTGTTAATCAGAAACTGCAGTAGTACAGAGGAAGAGGATGGAACATAAAATATAACATTTGAAGAGGAAAAAGCACATCAGGGTTTTTTAGACTATAGTAAATAACACTTGAAATGAGTTTTCCTCCATCCAGGTCTAGTAAGGTGGTCCTTGGACTTCCCACAGGGCAGGGAACCCTGATTGCTCTTTGGGCTGGTGAGGGAGGGGGACTTGATTGGGGGAGGGGGAGGGAATTGGGAGGCGGTGGTGGGGAAGAGATAGAAATCTTTAATAAATAAATAAATATAAATTTTAAAAAAGATAAAAGAAAAGAAAAGAGTTTTCCTATGTAAATGCTTAATAAATGAGAAAGAGAAAACTGTGAAAGTTGAATGGAGAATTTTCAGTCTCAAGTTTGGGGACGAAGGCTCTGACACTTTGCTGGCCTAGTGAAGAATCCACAGGACGGGCCTGGCTCAGAGTTGAGGACCTGCTCCCTACAGCTGTGGGACTGAATGGTGCAATACAGAAAGAGAAGACGGTGAGAGGGCTCCATGGGTGAATGCTCTAGCCACTCAAGCCAGGTAATCCAGGCACAGGCCCCTGAACGTACACAAAGGAGGAAGCACAGAAACAACTCATGGTTTCTTCCACCCAGGCAGCAAGGCCCAGGCCCAGACATCTATGTCACGCACACACATGTGCGCAATAATAATGTCTTTAGAAGAAAAAACAAGGGAAGGAAACAACAACTAAGTATGTTAAAACAATGAATGTCCCGGCTTGGCCCTGTGCTTACATAACAACTAGCTAACGCCTTTAATTTAACTGTCTGCTGGCACCTAAACAAACCTCCCTCTCCCCTGGTAAATGTACTTAGTACTAGAACAGCCTTGCCCATGGCAGACTCACAGATGGCACCTGAGGATGAACAAACACAAACAGCACAGATTCAAAAGGCTCTTGGTAGTCACAGGCTTTGCAAACTTGCTGTAGAACATGTCACTGTTGTCCTTAATCTTGCCCAGACATAGAGGGCAATTCATTGTCACAGCTTGTAGTCAGGAGTCTCTGAACTCATACAGGCCTCCCCACTGTGCATTCCACAGCCGCTAACCAGAGTACTCCACCTCTCTGCCTCACAGCCTCTTCCCAGGGGCTTTCTCCTGATGCCACTAGAACGGCAATGTCTTTGTGTATTTGTTTCCCTGAAGACTCTCCCCAGCTCCACGGTCCACACACTTCCCTCATAGCAAGCACACACACTAGACCAGCCTGCCATCCTCTTTTGCTCAAGATCTCCTTCTCCCATGCCTGTCTCCTTTCTCTAAACATTGTGAACTGCCTCAGGCCACCACCGTCCATACAGCTCAGCATAGTCAACTGTAGCCGCCACTGTCCACACAACACTTCACTGCTGTTCTACTTCTCTCTCAACTTCCAATCCAAACATGAGAGCGAGATTTGGCCCCTGCTCCACCTCCAGACCCCTTCCCTCTTCTTCCTGACCTGAGATCTGTGGTCCAGCTACCATGTCAAGGGAAATGACCACACAAACTGCAGTATGCAGAACAATGTGGCGAGGGGCAAGGTCGATGGAGGAGCTGGGTGACGGGTGAACTGAGGCTCTGGTGCTGGAGTGACTGGAGTGACGTGATGCACAGGGAAAGTGAGGAACTGGGATG